CTGTACCCTCCACAGGTGCCCACATGCTGTGGCCCAGCCTTCCTTCATGCCAAAGGTTCCCAAGGCTCCTGAATAAATGTCTAGCAAAAGAGCAAAAATTTCAATGGAGGGTTCTTTCTGTGAATACTGTCCCCATTATACAGGAGTGTGTTTAGGATGTCATTTCTATACCTTTGTTCTTCATCTGTAGCCCCATGGATGTGAGTAGTGCACGTGTTGATGTTGTGTTTGTGCTAGTGTTAATAAAGCCCTGCCAAGTTGCTGAATTATTTTTGATGAGTATGTCTACACACTGATCTTAATTTTGATAATAGGTAATATTAAACTCATTTTTCTGCTGATTAACCTTTTTGGTGGTGTGGCCTGTTTTATTTAGCATTGTCAATATGAGGATTATCTTGATGAATGAAGGTGGTGTTTTAGGGCTACGCATCTCATCTGGTTTGCTAAGAATGAAAGCTACTGGGCCTCTTAGTTCCCAGTTGTCCTCAGCCATCTGCAGATGTCACTGATTTGTCTTGGATGAAGTTGTTAGCAGATGTCTCACCTGTTCGCCAGCCTACCCCATGGGCTGGCACTTTCTGGGCTTTTAAGAACACATACAAAATTTTATCTCTTGGACTGCGTGAAATAACTTATTAGAGACAATATTGTAAATAGTGAATGATCCAGATATTGGAAGAGAACGCAGAACTATGGTAAGTGGGAGCCATGTGTGTTGTTATCCTGGCCCCTCCCCCAGTACTGCTCAGGCCTTATTAGAGAAGTGCAGGGGTCATAGGCCAGTCTTGCCTTGTGTCACCTTTTAGGACTGGCTTTGTGTGGAATAGAGCAGCAGTAGAGAGAGAACAACTGTCCATAATATTTATATAACTTTTTAGAAAAGAAAACCAAGTAGTCATTATTAAATACTTCCTAAGAGCTCATGATATGTCTCCTATTATCAGGTAGATAAGGATAATAAAAGGATACCTAATCATTCTGTAATAAAAGCAATTTAAATGTACTAGGTCTGTAAATTGACATCTCTATTCTTTGAGAACAGAGAGCTTTGCATTTAATGCTAAATTCTCACTGGTGAAAAGAAGCTGGTAAATTGTTTTTCACAGTTTTCAGCAAAGGAATCTTGATTTTGACTCAGATGTTGTTTTTATGTCTCCAAGTGTCATTTCCTGGGTTTTATCTGGTAATTTGGCATGATGAGGTGTGAAAGATAGTCTTACTAGGTTTAAATATGTGACATGCTTTTGCTGTAAGCATAAAAGGGTCTAATGTGAATTACTAACATGCTTTTAACATTAATTTGGTGATTCATAATGCTCTTCCATTTACTATAAAAACTGCATCAGAATTCAGTTATTGCCTATTATAGGAAAACTTTTGAGATTTTTTATTATTAGCATATACTTGCAGAGTGGTATATACCTTTGAAAGGTTTTCATGTACACTGATATTTATTTCTTTTTGAGACAGTGTCTCACTGTATTGCTCAGGCTGGCCTTCATCTCCTAGGATAAAGTGATCCTCTTGCCTCAGCTTTCTGAGTAGCTGAGACTATGGGTACATACACCATGGCTAGCTTCTACACACTAACTCTTAGTGACACAAGGAAGTATGACTTCATTGTACAGGTAGAAATTGAGGCTCCAAGAGTTAGTGTCTGCCAGGACTTGTAGCCAGCACATGACTGAGCTGGGGCTCCTGATGATGTAAGTGAAGAATGAATTGGCTGCCACTGCAGCCTTTGGGCCATTGCTAGGTTCTGGATATGACTTTGACAGCACAGCAGAGTCCTCTAAGGTGCTCAGGGATGGAGTAGCCTGAGTATCAGTGTGATTTGCAGCTTTGCAAGTGGTTCACGTGGGTAGTAATAGGTTTAGTTTATTTTTTATTTTTTTGGTACAGGTTCTGGGGCTTGAACTCAGGTGTTGTTCCTGAGCTTCTTTTGCTGAAAGCTAGGACTCTACCACTTTGAGCCACAGCTGTACTTCTGGCTTTTTGATGGTTCAATTTGTGATAAGATTCTCACAGACTTTCCTGCCCTGGCTGCATTCCAACCAAGATCCTCAGATCTCAGCCTCCTGAGTAACTAGAATTACAGGACTGAGCCACCAGTGCCTGGTGGGTAGTAGTTGGTTTGTGGGACAGTTTTATGGACTATGAATTACAGCCCGGGCCCTTATGCCACCTACAGGGTTTGCTAAACTGAGCAGATGTTTGAAGCACATGACCGTGGAGCTGGCACGGGAAGAGCCTGTGTACATCTGGTGAGGAATATGTGGCCATGGTACACTGGTGAAAACTCTAGAACTCTCAGAGCAGGACTCAGTCAGGATTATGCTGATTTTGTTCTGCTTGAGACCTTTTTTGGTCATAATTCTGCTGTGTCTTTGAAGTGTAGGTACTGAACCTTGCATTTACTCAATGTCAATAGCATTAGATGACATCACAATTTCCCTCTGGTGTCAGGCTAATTCTGACAATGTCAGGGGAAAGACAATAAACTTAGAACAGGTGAAACGTTTGGCAGTATAGGGTTTTCATCTATCTCTGATTGACACTGTCTCTACATGAGTATATTCTCTCAGTTGTCATTGTGATTTATGATTGTGTCCTAAGGGATCTTCAGAGTGTGACTTCCAAGAGTCTCTCTGGGCAGTTAGGAAAGTGAGTAAAGCAGCTGTAGGTGGCAGTGGGAACAGAATGTCCTCAGGGACTGGACTGGCATATGTACCTCTGATGAGGCAGAGGCACACTTGGCTTCTGGAAAGCAATGTGGCAATGCACTGGTCAGCCTCGTTCCTTCTCTTGTCATGGTGGCTGGTTTAAGAAATGGTATTTTCTCCTGGACTATTGGAGTATATACAACAGATCAGGAAGACTGAAATAGTGATGTATTCTAAGTAAAGCCATTTGGAGTTCAGGGCCTTAGAGTTGCTTTGTAGAGAGCCTTCTGTAGTGGTTGGTTTGCCTTGCTATAAGAGCTGGGATAAATCTCTCCCTAGATGGTGGGAAAGTTTTGGGTGTAGGTAAGTTATTAAGATCTGGAAGGTTGGATTAGACTTTGATACTTTCTATTCTTCCTGGGCTAAAACAGCTAGAGGGCTGGCTGACCCCTGACTGAGGTAGGCTTGGTTAGGGCTAGGAGCTCACCAGCCACTCTCAGCAGGAGTAGTGTCCCTGTCCACACCTGGGCATGTGCATACCCACTTCAGACCTGTGAGGAAGGAGGTGGGGAGGCAGGCCTTGATGTACTCTGGTAGGATGGATTGGGAGGTGTGAATGTGGGACCTCCCCCACATCTGCTTCTTCATCATTTGGAAGGCTCACAGGGCTCTGTTCAGCACTGTTCCAATGTCCATCTAGCTCTGCAGCTCTGTGATTCCTTTGCCTGGCTGGCTGTAGGTCTTTATGAAAGAGCTGTGTTCAGGGGCCTCAGAAGTGGCAGAATAGCTAATGGTGTTGCTGCCATCGTGGTCCCTGAATTAAATGGCTAGGAGCTGAGTCAGGGTAGCAGAAAGAAATGAGAATTTGGAATTATGGGAAGTTCCATGGGTACAGGAAGCCAGAGGGTATCTGCTCCTTGGTTACTTCCTCGGTGAAATTTATAACAAGGAACTATGGTGCCACGCATACTTGGTTCAGATTTCTTTTCCTACTAGTTATCAAGTCTGCAGTGCTTCAAGGTGCTAAGATGCTGTGTGCTTTGCAGAGGGCACAGGGAGTCCCGTGAACAGCACCGGTACCTGCAGCTGAGGCTTCTTTTTTTTTTTTTTTTTTGGGTCCGGTCGTGGGGCCTGAACTCTGGGCCTGGGCGCTGTCCCTCAGCTCTTCAGCTCAAGGCTAGTGCTCTACCACTTGAGCCACAGCGCCACTTCCGGCTTTTTTCTTTTTGCTTATGTGGTGCTGAGGAATCGAACCCAGGGCCTCATGCATGCAAGGCAAGCACTCTACCACTGAGCCACCTTCCCAGCCCTTGCAGCTGAGGCTTCTTAGGACCAACCTCTTCTCAGAATAAAGCTCAGAGGCCCTGGCCACCAGCCAGTTGCTGAGCTTCCCTTCTGTGATCCAAGCCCGTATTCCCTGCAGCTCAACTTCAGTACCTATCTTTGCTTAGGGCCTGGCATTCAGTTCCCTCAGTTCCCACAGTTGCCTGTCTTTTCTCCCTGGCCCATGCATATCTTGTCTATCCCCAGGCCATCTTCAAGCAAATGTCTCTGTGGGGATGGTCCCTATCATCTGCCATAGCCCACCTGTCCAGGTATAGCTTCTCATGTACTGAGGGCTTCCAAACCCTCCTGCCTTAAAGGCAGTGGAAAACTAGAACTAAGGCACTGATACTGAAGTAACATGCCTGGAAAGCGGGCTCTTCCAGTTTGGGGATCAACGTCCTGCCTGTTCTTGACAAGGACAAGCCTGCCTAGTTCTGGCTACTTAGACCTAGTGGTTAATGACCAACAAGCATCAGAGGGGCTTTAAGGAAGGAAACAAAACTCACCAGACCACTCTGAGATTGGGAACTCTAGAAATGCTACCTTCAGCTTCCTGACTCCTGTGAAAGGTGACCAGCTCTTTGTTCAGAACTTTAATCAACTACTGAAGGTCAAGAGATTGTGGCATATCTGGTCCCCCACAGTGTTGTGCTACTACTCAGACCAGGAGAATGATGTGGGGCTCTCATGGAGTCAAGGCAGTGAGGAAGCCCGCTGACTCTCAGGTTGGCCACCATCTGCTCTACCCTGTCCCCTACTCTAGCAATGCCCTGTAAGCACAGACCCACAGCATCAGAACAATTAATTTTAGAAGAAAATGAGATATATTTAATCTAGGCAAGAGGCGCTATCATTCTCTCATCTCAGCCACTGTGTATGACCCACTGGCACCTCCATCTGCCCATGTGGGAAAAAGACAGAGAGGGTCTCTGACAGCTTGGCACTGGGCTGCAGCCGAAGGTGAGGATGAGCTCACACATATGTCTGTTGAAGCCGAAGTCTGCTGAGGAGGCAGAAGGAAGTCAGTGACAGTAGAGAACAGGCACCTCGAAGCTCTGCAGCCAGGGAACATCCCAGACTTCAGAGTAGCAGTTCAGAACCTGCAACAGAGAAGGCTCCTCTGAATACCCCATCTGCTACAGAGGCCCTGGCTATCTAAGCCAGCTCTCCTGACCGCTCTGTGATTGAGCCTGGATAGCTAGGAGCTGTGTGTGTGTGTGTGTGTGTGTGTGTGTGTGTGTGTGTGTGTGTGTGTGTGTGTGTGTGTGTGTGTGTGTGTGTGTGTGTGTGTGTGTGTGTGTTCCTTGCTGAGGAAATACTTCCAGATTGCTGCTGTTGTTGTTGTTGGTAGTGGTGGTGGTGGTGGTGGTGGTGTGTGTGTGTGTGTGTGTGTGTGTGTGTGTGTGTGTGTGTTGGTCATGGGGCTTGAATTCATGGCCTAGGCACTATCCCTGAGCTCTTTTGCTAAACACTAATGCTCTACCACTTTGAGCTACAGCTCCACATCTTGCTCCCAGTTTTTATTTAAAAAGTCTAAATCTATAGAAGATTTGAAAGAACTATTTAAAAACATACACATTCACCTCTATAAATTGTTAACTAAGATGGCAAAAAAAGATTCAATACATATGCTAAACATTAAGAAAAGTGAGGGAAAGGGTGGGGGTTGGGAGGGGTGGGTGAGAATGTTGAATGTGGTGACATTGGTCAAGATGTACTGTATTCATAAACTGCTTTGTTGAATGACAACTCTTTTGTACAACTACTTAAAGATAATAAAAATATTAAAAAATTATTAACTATTGCCACATTGCTTTCTTATGGAGATTCATATATGTATAAAACATTATATGTCATGCCATACATGATATATATATATATATATATATATAATATCATGTTGTTTGATCTGTCATATTTCATGGATAATATATGTCATGATATATGTATAAATATATATAATTTTATAATTTTTGAGTCATTTGAAAGCTTGTCTTTTTCTAATCTCTCCACCCCAAATCCATAGCATTTCTCTCTTGAGATATACCACTTAGAGAGTACAGAGGTTGCACAGGTAATATGTTTCTGAGAAAGTCCTTCTTCAGTGCTCCCATGTCCCCGTGTGGTATGGGAATACTGGAGATCTGACCTCAGGAGGGAGGTCTGAAAGCCTCCCCATAGAAAGGTGACCACTGCCTGGAGGAGTGTGGCTGAAGAGCCTGGGACAGAGAAGGCAGCCTCAGCCCATCTACCTTACCCACTTCAGGGTGGGGCTGGTTTGGAAGTTACAGCTGTCCAGAGAAGGAGAACTGGTTTTCTTGCACGTAGTTCTACTGACTTCCAACATCAGCATGTATTTCAGGCCTTTTGAGATCTAAAGAGAAGCAAAGGACTAGGCTTCTTGGTTACTTAGCACAGGGTGAAAGTGGTTTCTATCTTGTGGTAAGTAAGGAGGGTGCTGGGGAGTGAGGAAAGTTTAAGATTGCTACAACTGGGAAGGGAGTGGGCCTGGACTGCAACCCCTCCCTCTTTACTGCTGTTGACAAGGGCTTTCTACCCAAGAAAGGATGGATTATTTGCTCAGAATTCTGCATTCGGGAGAGATGCTGTTCTCCCCCCCACCCCCTGCAACCAAAGGTAGAGCCTTGCCCCTCCCTCCATCTGCCAGCTGCACCTACCCCACAGCCCTCACAGTGATGTTTAAAGGAATGGGACAAATCCTGGTTTCCAAGGTTCCCACACCAAGCACAGCATTTGCTGGTTTCCACCTCCCTGTGCCTGGGAACTGTGTGTTTTATTTGGAGTTCTAGAATAGGCCTTCTCCACTTGGATATGGCAGCAACCTAGTTCTCCTTCCTCCTTCCCTCCCTCCCTCCCTCCCTCCCTTTCTTCCTTTCTTTCTCTCTCTACAGTCCTGGAGCTTGAATTCAGGGCAGGGGTACTGTCCTTTTGTGCTCAAAGCTAGCACTTTGTTGGTGGTTAATTGGAGTTAAGTAGTCTCACAGACTTTTCTGCCCAGGCTGGCTTCCAACCACAATCCTCAGATTTCAGCCTTCTGAGTAGCTAGGATTACAGGCATGGGCCACTGGCACCCTGCTCTTCTCATGTCTGGTTTCTGCATAGTTGTGGGAAAGTTCCTCAATTTTTAGTCTCTCCCACCCTATGCCACCTGAATAAAGTCCCCAACATTACCAAGACAAAGAGGGGCAATGTCACATCCTCAGAGGATCTTGGACACTCGGGTCCAGAGCGTTGCACTGGCCTCTGGAGAAGGCAGCACCTCACTCAGGCAAGATCCAGCCCCTCTAGCAGGGTTACCACAAGTTCTGTGATGCCATTAGTCTTAGATGAAGGCCACTCCCACATCCATCCTCTCCCCTTGTCATTCATCTGAAGCCAGCTTTCCATGCTTGCAGATAGCTGCTCAGTGTTCACAGAGATCATCAGGGAGCCACCTCCTGGTTCCCTATCATCACTTTTAGATTCCCATCATCCACATGGACATTTTGAGGACACAGTTGAGCAAGGCTGGTTATTTTCTGTAGGGCCCCCTCTGGCTAGGAGAGTAGTGAGGGGGTGTGAGAGGTCATTGTGAAGAATAATAGCACTGTAGGGTGTGACATGAAGCAGGCTCGAGGCAGAGGGTTTGTAAGGGAAGGGAATGGCTTGACACATGTGGTGGGGGAATATAACATGGGGCTATAAGGAGTGAGGCTGGAACGGGGGTCTGGGGACCCCGGCAAGAGCATCTCTGATCTGCAAAGCAGTGACTCTGCAGGGCTGCCCACTTCTATGAGCTCTATTACAGCCCCCACCTCCTTGCTTCCACTGATGAGGTCTGGCCCGGAAGCCTTAATTAAACCTGCTGGTTTAAGTTGTGCTCAGCTCCAGGTGACACTGGTTTTGGTGTTGCCTTTAGCTTATAGATGTGCTCTAGGTGGTTGGGTGCTACAGCTCTGCTCCTCAGGGATGTCCCTGAGAAGCTAATGACCAGACCCCCACCCTGCATCTGTACCAGAGCTCTGCTGACTCGGAACTCTTTGAACAAGAAGAGGTCATTCGTGCAGTTGTTGAACTTCTGTGCGCTGTGTCTGGCTGCTTTGAGGACTCCTGCGTCATTGGTCCTTATTAATTTGGGAAATTCTGGCTTCAAATCTGAGTTAAGGACCTGGGAACAGAAATCTGGAAGAAACAAAAGAACCAGAGAAGATTGATGATGGTCGGACATTTAATCCAAGTGTCCTGCCTTGTGCCAGGTGGCATCCAGACTCTGCTCATGTGGATCCCGGCCCCTCCTTCACCCACAGTGTACCCATCACCTGTCTACCCCCACACCAGGCATGAGCTGGGCTTCCCCATAGTGGCTCCATATTGGAAGCTGAGGATAGAGGCCATGGATGGGATAAGGATAGGATTGCTGCTTTCCAGTCTCAGTCGTCAGAAGCCAGTTATTTTCAGCATGTGGTTTCCAGGCAGCTAGACCTCTGGACAGGATGTGGTCTTTAGGGGTTAGGAGAAATCAGACTAGCCTGGTCCTCAAGGCTGCTGTTCAGTGTCTGGCTTCTTCTTCTCATTTGTCCCAGCCAAGGAGGCCATGTTTGTGTTTGGCCCTGCAACCCCACTGGTAGGGAGGCTAAGCTGTTTTCCCCTTAGCAGCTCTGCCACTCTAGCAAGGGTCGATCCACCCACTCGTGGGTTTCAGCTCAGTTGGGCACAAAGGCCTCCAGCATCCTGAGGCATGATGGTCCCAATGTACTGTCGATTGAGGTTCTCTGGGTGCAATTCTTTACTGTCCTATGAGTAAATGCCATCCCATGAGCTTTGGCTGTGGATCCTGGCATGTGAGGGAGGGAGGGTGGGCAGGCTGAGTTTCTTCCTCATTTCCCTGCTCTTTCTGTGCGGGTGGGGGTGGGGGGAAGCCCATATTTACACAAAAGATGAGGAAAAAAGTGTGAAGGGCTTCTGCTTCCAGATGGGTTCCCCAGGGTCTTATGAGAGAGCCAAGTAGGGACACCCCTGCCATTCCTCCTTGGCTGCTCATGGCTGGCTGCTTTTGGTAAAGTGTGGATGGTAGACTCTGAGAGGACTCCCCAAGGTTCCTGTTCAAATCTGGCTCCTGGAGAACCTGCTGTTTATTCCTTTGCTCAACTCATCCATGGACACTTGTAGAACCTGCCAATCTCCTTCCTGGGAAGAATAATGTCCTACAGATGAAGATCAACACAAGCATCAAGTGAAGAGACTTAGGGGAGTGGGAAGAAGGGAACTCAGGTGTTTCAGATTTAAATGCAGATGGTCCCTGCTGTGGTGCCTTTGGAAGGCAGGGAGAGAGAAAGAGACAGAGACAGAGAGACAGAGAGATGGATTGATTCGAGCTCTGTCTCTCCATCTCCTCCTAGAGCTTAAAGTTTTGAATTGGGGCCTGAGGACTGGGGCTGTGGACAGTGAATGTCCAGCTTTGTCCCTAGAGGTATGCTGTACACCCCTCTGCTTGGTTACCTGGTCTCTATTGGAATTAGTCAAGGCCCTACCCCACTGGGCTATGCTCACTTTTGTAATCCTAGCTCTGCCTCCATTGGCTGTGCAGCCTTGGGGAGGCTGCTTTAATCTCTCTGAGCCTCCATGTCTCCATCTGTCCATGGGGATCACAACAGCACCAATCTCTCAGGGTGGTGATGAGAATATCAAACACAAAACACTGGAAGCAACCAGGTAATTGTTATCCAATGTCATTACAGTGTGGCTATAGCAAGGGTCTCTCTGAGTGTGCAAGAAAGAACCCAGAGGGTATGGAAGGTGGGTGAGTAGACTTCTCCAGGTCCAGACCCAGGCAGTGGTAGTTCCCAGGGCTCCCCAAGGAGGCCCTCTTGTCCCCAGAGTGTCTCTGGCCTGATACAATGCCTCAGCCCTTGCTGCAGGTGGCTCCTGGCCACAGGTCTCAGGCAGATGGGCTGCTGCCAGCCTAACTGGAAAGGGGGAGGGGGCAGAGTGACATGGTGGCCAGGGCTCTTCCTGGAAGAGGGCAGGTTGGGAAAGAAGAGTGTTACTTTTTAAACTAATGGTAAGGAGACCAATGTGCCAATTTCCTTCATTTTCAAGAGCTCAGCATGACTAGGGCCCAACATCTGTGTAGTTTAGTTGGGAAGCCACATGCCCCCAAACATACTTCCTGTGTCTCTGCTGTCCCCTTGCCCCTCAACAGGTTCTAGAATCTGTTGTGAGGAAGTGAGGGAATGGCTATAAAGGATCATGGGGTGAATAGGGAGGGGACCAAATTCTTGGCTCTCTTTGACTCTCAGAGGGGCCTCTGTACCTCACTATACAAATGAAAACCTAAGGCCCTAGCTGGACATCTCAGCAGTGATTCAGCCTCGGGGGAAGTGGTGGTGGTGGTGGTGATCATGAGGGCTGACGGCACAGGCTTAGGAGCAAGGGGTAGGTGTTACTGAAAGCACCCTCGGTCCACCATACCACTCACGGGATCACCTTAGAGCCATTCAACTACACTCCCCAGAGCAGGCTGGGGTGCCATTATTGCCCATTTTATGGGTGGTAGGACTCAGTCTTCGGGAGCGTCCATAGCTAGTAGGCAGGGGTCTGTGATACCTTCAGGTTCTGCATGTGTGGGGGTGGACTCTGGGTGCTTGTCAGGTTCAATGGCAGAGAGGAGGCTTGAGGGCAGAGCAGCCCAGGTCAGCCCAGAAGGGCTCTTGCCACCATGATGGGGCCTTGGGTGGTCTGACACAGGGGCAGGCCTTTGCCCAGCTTCACATACCAGCGAAGAGGAAGGTCATACCAACAGCCAGGTAGCTAGCATCTCGGGTCTCAAGGACTCCATGAAATCATTACCACTGCATCCTTACTCTGTGAGGTGAGGCTATGGGGGGGGGGGGGAGGGGAGGAAAGGCAGAACTCATGCAGATCATGAACAGTGAGTATGAATAATGCAAAGCTGGGACAGCTGAGAGAATAGCCTTTACATTCCCCTTAGGAGAACCTCATCGGGTTGAGGAGGGCTCATTCTCTGATATGAATGTTCACTTCTGCCCCAGGCTTCCTCCCTATCCTGGTGGAGGGGAATGAAGGCAGCCTGGGTAAGGATGGGGCTGGGAGGAGAGACAGAGAAGGGGCAGTGTGTGTGTGTGTGTGTGTGTGTGTGTGTGTGTGTGTGTGTGTCCTCATCATGTGAGCTAAGAAGAAGGCAGGGAATAGGCAGGAGGCAGCAGGCAGGATCTGTAGCAGGGTGCTAATCACCTGTTTGCTGAGCACCTTCCTTTCCAGCTGCTGTGGCTTGTTGCTGGCTCTGAGCATGGAAACTGCCATCTCCCTGCTCCAGTTCTGTCTGCCTGGTTTCCTAAGTCACAACGTCCATGCCACATCAGGTCTAGGAGCCTGAGGCCGTGACCCTTCCCTGAACCTGGCTTCTTTGCCTCCACATTGGACTTAAGGGCTCTGGGACATTCCCTATCACTGGTCCTCCCTGAACATCCTCTGACTGGTCACCTGTAGCTGAGCTCCAGCCAGGTGTTATGCCACCTGCTGGGCTGTGTCCAGTGGCCAGCTTCCTTGTTAGTTAAATGAGTAAGAGCCTCTAAGTCTTCATCCACTTACGGGCTAGAGAGGGCATCACCCAGCCAGCTCCCTCAAGTAGACGCTCATGGCTATGTCATCTAGGCGAGTCACCTACACTAGCTATGCTCCAGTTTCCCAGAACCTGGACAGTGCCTTCCTCTGCCTCAATTTCTAGAGAATAGGCAGTGTTCTCCTCTTCCTCTTAACTCCTTCCCCTCTGGGCATCAGATATCTGGTCTCTAGAGTCCCTGGAACCAAGTCATAGGACAGTGGCCTGTAGGCGGACAGGAAGGATAAGCCATCAGATGGAAGTGACCTGATCACAGTCCAGTTCCCATTCTCTCCCCCTGTCTCAGAGCCAAGAAGCAGAGAAGAGCAAATGATGCAGAGGTGAAGCAACACAAGACTCTTCCTCTATCCCAGCAGGGGCAGCCTCCACACTCTTCCTTCCTGAAGCTTGTTCCTCCCAACAGCAGCTGCTGCCAGGACCCAGAGCCTCTGTGGATCCTCTGGGGCAAACTAGAGCTGGGGAGGAATCCCAGGTTATACCTTAAAGCTGCCACCAGCAGCCTTAGCCACAGCATCCCAGAGAGCATCCAGGAAACATTCCTCTTACCTGGGGTTAAGTTCCCACAGGTGCTGGAAGCAAGGCAGAAGAAGGCGAGTAGCACTTTGGCCAGCCACATGGTTGTCCTGGAGGATGGCAGTGTAGTAGAGTAGTTTGAGCACAGCCTGGGCCAGGGCAGGGTGGGGACTGCCTCTTTGGGGCTGGGGAGGGGCATGATTTCTTGCTGAATCATTTGGACTAGAAGCTCTTCGTCTCCAGATCTATTGGCCACAAAGGCAACTGCTTCCTTTATAAAAGTTTCCAAGCAGCTGTCATTTGCTGGGGAGGGGAGGAGGGAGGAAGAGAAATAGACCTGTGAAAAAAAAATCCTAGTGTAGTATTCTACCCCAATCCATAGGGGAAAGATGCTGCAGTGAAACAAATGGGGGAAATGCTGCTTTCAGAAGCAGACTCACTTGATTTCCCTTGCCCAAATGCTGTTTCTCCTGCATGAGTGTGATTGGTCATATTTCCTCTGGCAGGGAATCTGGTTGCAAAGTATGATCACTGTCTTCACCCTTGGTTGAAGAGCTATTCCTACTCTCTGTCTGAGGGCATTCACCTTGCCTTCCTAGGGAAGCTCTGACAGCTTCGTATGAGGAGTCATCATGCAGGACAGAGCTGTCTCTCCTCAAGTCTTCTTTACCATCTCCTTTTGCTTTGAGGCTTATAATCAGATGCAAATCCCAGCGAGCCCCTAAAAGAGGGGTCCACAAGGAATTGCATTTCAAAGTTAAAGAAATACTTGACTTTGCTAATTTGTACAGACAAAAACCCAGGTAAGATTCATGGGAATGGATTGGAAGGGATTTGGATAATGGCAGGAAGAACATAAAGTTGGATCAGGTTAAACATACTGAGACAGGCTCAGTAAGCAGAGATCCTGTACTTAATGCTTCATCTCAGGAGGTTAGGAAGAGTTTGGTTGGTAAATTTTGTTGACACATGGACCAAAAGGTGGAAATGCTGGACTTGATTTGGTTTAATGTAGGAAACCATGACTTTCATCTGGCAAAGCCTGGAGTTGTACCGTGACTCCTTCCTCAGGGCCTATCAGCTCTGCAGCCCTGCATCTGACTTAGTTTGGGGGAATCTTGGCCACTTTCCTTTCCTTAGGACCTTACAATGGTCCATTACATTAAGGGGCCATTAATGGCATTGTGCTAATTGGATCTAGTCAGCAAGAAGTAACTCTGGATTTATTGATGAGACATTTATTTATCACAGGGTAGAAAGTAAATCCAACCAGAATTTAGGCAGATTGAAATGTTAGAGTGAATTTGTTATTTAAGAGTTACTCAAGGGAGGGAAAGTAGGAGAAAAATGAGGGAAGGGATAACAAATTTGACAAGAAATGTACTTATTACCTTACTTACATAACTGTAACCCCTCTGTACCTCACCTTGACAATAAAAAAAGACTTACTCAACCCACCGTGGGAGTGTCTACGAAGATAGACCTTTTACCACTGTGGTAAATAATTTGTAAGGGGAGCCTTAGCATCATTGAGAGCTCTGTAATTGTTCTTCTGTACTATGGGAATGGCAGCCATTCAGTTGGGTAGCTTAGCAAGTGTTCACACTTGCTTTCCTACATCTACCTCATGGGGCTTTCCAACCATGAGGTGACAGAGGAAGAGACAAAAGTGGTCTATAGATAGAGGTTCTGTATGACAGGCAGACACCACTCAAGAGTGGGTAGTTGCAACATCATATACTCTTTCAGGGATAGCCACTTTCTGGAATAGTCTCTTCCTGGGATAGGAGTCAAGAGCTATCATCTCCAGGCAGTGTACCTGGTAGTACACTTGAAAGGAAAATGGCCATAGACATACTTATACACCAATGAATGGGCTGTGGCCAGTGGTTTGGCTGGATCATATAGGACGTGGAAGTAAGATAAATAGAAAATTATCGACAAGGAAATTTACTGAAGAGATGCTGTGGAAACGTCTCTGAAAAGGGAAGGGGAACAAAGAGATTTGTGTCCCAACTCACCACAGTATAACCTCTCTTCCTAGAGAGGATTTTAAAAACAGAGTGGATTGGGAGGTCTGCTTTGTGAATACCAGCCAACCCAGTGATACTGGTGGGGTTGCAAAGTGGCCACGGTGGCAGCAGTAGAGGCCACATAGGCTCAGCAACAGGGACTTTCAGCAAGGTCTTTTGAAGTCTCCTGTACACTGGCTCTTCCCTGAACCACAGAAGATCTCAAACAGAAAAACGGATTATCAGGTGACCAGTGGAGTTTTAGCTTGAATCTGTCTCACAAATGGGTACCAGAACCATCCAGTGAAATTTCTGGTTTCTGAGCCAGAGTGAAGGCCATTAGTATTTTGGAGAAAGGTCTTGTCATCTTTCTCAGATGACCACTCTTGTTTTGAGATCAGCCAGTGGCCTGGGTATTAGCAGAGATCGAGTGCTTAAATACCAGGCACTCAGTGATTAAGAATCACCTAGCTGAGCACCCTAGCTTTGAAGAACCTCTACCAATATATATGGATATGGACATTTGTCTCTGGGTTTACAAGTGTATATTGCTGTGTCTTTGCATTTGAGTATTTATATAGTTCTCTCTGTGTGTCTGAGCATTTTGGGAATGTTAAGTGCACATTTGTGGTTGTACATGTGTTTGTGGTTCTATACATGTTTATGTGTGTTAGGTGCATATTTCTGTGTATACTGTAGGAGTAGTGGGCTCTGTACTGAGTCTCAAGCATTAATTCATTAGTGAACCCATTCACTCATTTAACCTACTCTCTCTTTTAACCTCTTGCATCTGAAAGTGTAGTCCTTGGGCCAGCAAAATTAGTTTTCCTGGAGCTTAATGGAAACACATTTTTTGGCCCAGCTCAAACTCTGTGGCTAGGACATAGGACCCTTCTCACACCTTGGTTCAGGAAGCTCATTGGCTTTTCAGATTTGGGGGACACTTATGTAACCTATTCTGTTATTCCTTCCTCTTTTCTCATGGATACCAGCGCTGGTCTGACCTCTGTGATCAATCTACCTGGTGATGACGTTGGTCATTGTTTGGCCATGTATGACATGTGGCTTTGTGTACTCACTGGTCATGAAGCAGAGATCCTGCAGAAGAAACCTGGTCCGCAGGATGTGAGTGGATGTGGGAGGGATGAGGGGCAGGCCAGGAACTCCTGGGGTGGTCAAGCCAAGGCACACTCTTTCTCCTCAGGGTATGTGGCCTCACCTTAGTGGGCTATGAAGCTGCCCAGTGTGATTTTTCCAGATCCTGAAGATCTGGGACTTCCAAGGCTCAGCCCAAGTAGCTGGAATCCTCACTCCCACTCAGGTTGGCAGGAAACACTCTCCAAGGTGAAGGGTTCTGGAATCCCAGAGCTTGGCAGTGATAGGATGCTTGGGGTTCTTTTTCCCCTCTGGGTGGGTCTCTAGGGAGATCTGTGCTGCCTTGTCACAGGATGAAAACCAAGGAGGTTCAGCTGAGGTAGTCAGATCTCAAACTCCTCCATTAAATCTTCTGTAGCTCGTGCCGTGGGTCTAGACAGCAGTATTGTCTGTATATCTCTGGGCAGACCCTGCCTTCTGTGTTAGTTGGCCTGTTGCCATTCTACCCCCATTACTTTTGGAACCTGAAAAGAAATTCCACGGATGTGTGTTGTTTTCTGTCTGTTTTCTATTGCTCCTTAGCCTGAAGAACCATATATTTAGCAGCTGAAACTACAGGCACCTTTTATCTCAGAGGGACTGGGGACCAGGCATCTGAGCCTGACTGGGCCATGTCTGCTGCTCAGGGCCTCATCAGTCTGCATCTTTCACAGGCTCACAAGGAAACCTCCACTTCCAAGTTCTTTGCTGGTAAATGGTAGTCCCCTGAGGACTGTCAAACCAAGTGTCCAGTTCCTTACTGGCTGGTGGCTGGAGGCTACTTCAGTTCTTAGCCTCATGGGACTTTGCAATGTGGCTGCTTGCTTCTTTAAAGCCAGCTGGGGAAATAGAATTCTAGGAAAATGGGTTACAATCTTAGAGGATGATATTGCAGAAGGGGCCTCTTGTCACCTTCACTTTATGTTGTCAGTTGGAAGCAAGTTACAGGGCCCAGCTTCCATCCAGGGGAGAAAAGATCTGGGGCCGGAGGTATGGGAGCCACAGTATAGAGTGCTGCCAGATTTACCAAAGTAGGGAAAATATTCCTTGACCCTCTCCACTGAAGAGGCCACAGAAAAAAGGTCACTTAGGTGACAATGCACTAAGTAAGGAGGCGAGGCTATTCAAGACATGACTAATTCCAGGCCAGCACAGCAAATGCACGACATGAGCCAGGGACCTCTCCTCTCCCCAGAGAACACAGTGACCATCAGAAGAGGTAAGGGATCATTTCATCCCATCAAGAACAACAACTAGAGGGAGTGAAGCATATCAGATGTCTCTAACCAATGAGTTTATAAGTGACACTAATAATGATCACAAGAATGATCATAATGATATGCATGCTCCCTTGGCATCCTCTAGGGACTGTGAGCCTTTCCTGCCAGGCTTCTCCAGGTCCCTCCCCATATGACCAGAAGCAATCAACATCCTTCAGTTTCAGGAAGTACCAGGAAACTGGGAAGGAGTCTGTCCACACCTTTCCTTGCAGCTCCTATTCTGCAGCCCTTTGAGTTCCAGAAGCCACAGAGGATGAGTTTGCTGCTATGGACTGTGAAGTGTGGGAAGGCCATTTGATTTGACTTCTTGCAACTACAGATCTTTTGTTTCAGAAAACTAAAGAAAAGCCATGTGCCAGTGGCTCACCCCTATAATCTTAGCTACTCTGGAGACTGAGATCTGAGAATCAAAGTTCAAAACCAGCCTAGGTAGGAAAGTCTATGAGACTCTTATCTCCAACTAATCACCAAAAAGCTGGAAGTGGAGTTGTGGCTCAAGTGGTAGCGTAGCAGCCTTGAGTGAAAAAGCTAAGGGATGGTGCCCAGGCACCTGTACTTGTGCAAAATAAATAAATAAATAAATACATACATACATAAATAGAAGGTAAAAAAAGGTAGAAAAGGAAAATAAACTAAAAGGAAAAGGGGAAATAAAGTCCATGTTTACCTCTTAAATTCTCACTTAGGCAGATGGATGGCTCATAGAGGGAAACAAT